TCCGCCCTGGCCACCGCCTCCTGTTCCGCCCGTAGACGACGTATGCGCTCCTGTTCGGCGGCCGCTCGCTGGGCGGCTTCCTGTTCGGCGCGTATGCGCAGCAGCCGCTCCTCATCTGCGGCTCGCTGCGCAGCCGCTTCCTGTTCCGCCTTCAGGCGGCGATTCCGCTCCTGTTCAGCGGCGGCTCGCTGTGCAGCAGCGGCCGCATCCTGTTCCGCCTTGTAGCGACGTGCTCGTTCCTGCTCTGCAGCCGCCCTCAGCGCCGCCTCCTGTTCCGCCTGCAGACGGCGGTTTCGCTCCTGTTCGGCCGCCGCCCTGGCTGCCGCCTCTTGTTCCGCTCTAATTCGTCGCAGGCGGTCCGCCTCTACTGCGGCTCGCTGGGCCGCTTCCTGTTCCGCCTTGATGCGACGGATGCGTTCTGACTCCCGAGCTGCCGCAGCTGCCGCTTCCTGCTCTGCCACCTGTTTGTTCACCTGCTTCGCCCGCTCCTGTTCGGTGGCCAGCTCTGCCTGGCGTGCCTGCAGGAAGAGACGCACCTTGCGGTTGTGCTCCTCAATCAGGCGGATGTCCTCGTCGGTCAGACTTTCCTTGTTGGTCACCGAAGGCGGCTGGCTGAGCGTCGCCGGCAGACTGACCACGGAGTTGGCTGTCACGCCTCCGCCGCCGTACTGGTTCACACCACCGGAAATGGAGCGGCCAGAGTGACTGGAAGAGGGGGAAGAGGCTGCAGTTGGCCCACCCTGAAGTGAGGGAGTTTGCAGCTGCAGTGGCAGCGTTTGCGGTGTGGCCGGTGTCACGTAGCTGGCGGGCAGATTGGTGGCGTACGGTGGTTGAGCGACTAAAAAAAGTTAAGTGAAAAAATTAATTGTTAGTGAAAAATGTTAGTTCTTGTTATAATGATCATTTAGTTTTCTTTTTTTGTTCTGTACCTGGAGGCTGACGATAGTGAGTTTGAGGCAAAGACTGTGCTGGCTGCTGTTGTCGTTGAAGAAAGGAGTTCATCAGACTGGAGGGAATGCCCTGGTCAGAGGCGCTGGCTGACGACTGCTGACTTCCGCCCAGCACCGAGTTCAGCGTTGACAGTCGGGAGTTGCTCTGAGGATGACGGATTAGGGTTCCTGGTTGCGGTTGGTGGTGCGGCTGTCCACTGTAGTGGCCACTCTGAAGTTGACTGGCCAGATTGGGCGGCAGCTGCTCGTGTGGAAGTTGGTGGCGGGGAGGGGGGTGATTGGGCGCACTAACTGCCGCAAAGTTGGGCGGTGGGACGCGAACCTGAGAGAGAAAAAAGTGAGATTTAGTTGGCAGTTTTAAAAACAACTTTTACATTTTTTTGTAACTAAATTTTAGTATTTTAATAACCATTTTAAAAGTTGAGCAAAACTAAATCAGTTACTTTTTGCTGTATAAAGTTTTCCTAAAATCATGCGCTACAAGAAAAATAGCGTTTGTACTTAACATCAACTTTTCTCACGCTCTCAACCTTTTTTATTTTTGTGTCTTAAACTAATTTTTAAGCTCATTAATGTGCGTGTATACACAAGCACGCACTAACACACTGCTCATCACTGATCATCGCATCATTATCGGCCCCATCGTGATGATCGTAATCTTGTTTTCTTCATAAAGGTGCTGGCATTGGTGTTAGAAAAGGCAGTCAGCAGGCTCAGTTCGATCGCTTGATCAAATGGTGTAATTAATTTAATTAACAAGTTGAAAGTGGACAAAGTATGTCTTTATGATAAAAATTAAAAAATTCAAAACTTAACTTAACAAACTTTTTTTAACTTTAACTTTTATCGTAATTAAAAATTTGCGTAAATTAATGAGCTTTTGCAAATTAGACTTTTTTTAGTATTACTAATGGCACAATGATATTTACATTAACAGTAGGTTTCTTTTTTCCATGAAAATGAGTATCATCCTTCTCATTATCATCATCAGATGGCATGTACTATCTGATGGCATTTCCTGCATATGCAGCTGTCAATATGCTGCTTTATAAACATGTTGTTTGTATCATGAACGACAGTTTGAAGTTTGAACAAGTGCAGGTGATGCACACATCAAAAAGTAATTATTGATACTCGTTTTTTCCGACATAACTCTCTTGATATTGCGCCAGCTCATTGATCGATCGATCAATCTACGTCAAAGTTTGTGATGTTGTGTTACTTCCTTCAGTTGCCCTTCAAGTTTGTCATCTATTTGTTTTAAAACTGTCTGNCAGCTGTCAATATGCTGCTTTATAAACATGTTGTTTGTATCATGAACGACAGTTTGAAGTTTGAACAAGTGCAGGTGATGCACACATCAAAAAGTAATTATTGATACTCGTTTTTTCCGACATAACTCTCTTGATATTGCGCCAGCTCATTGATCGATCGATCAATCTACGTCAAAGTTTGTGATGTTGTGTTACTTCCTTCAGTTGCCCTTCAAGTTTGTCATCTATTTGTTTTAAAACTGTCTGGCTACTAAAAATCATTCTCAATATTTTTGTATGATAACGATCACTGTTTTTGAATGAGACAACTCTATGTGATGTCATTTGCTTATATTAAGCTGTTTTTTTTGAAAAAATTTGATGCAGATTAATTAATCAAATACTCAGTTGCCGCCGTTTTTTAAGCTTTTTGTATAATTTGAATCCTTAATTTTGATGACTTTATTAAATCATTGCCGAGTGTGACTACTTGCAATTCAATGAAGCTAACATTTAATAAGATAGTGAAACAAGTACTGAAAAGAAACAACGGCAAAATTTGTCATTTGACGGCATTTCTTTACTAGGGCATCAACGTTTTCAAGTGTGGGAAAATGTGTTTAGTGCAAGAAAAAGATTGCCTTTTTCACTTGACCACCAATTGAGAGGTCTTTCTAATAAACACTGCAGTTTTCAAACAAAAATGCTATTGTTTAGTGATACTTACCACATACTGACGCTGATTTTGTGCCGACACTCTGAGCGGCGTCGTCGTTCGGCTGTATCGATTCTCCGACTGCTGTAGGCCGCGAATCTGCTTGCGCAACTCCATCTCTGACTGCGCTTGAATTTCATTGCTAATATTGGCCAGAACTCGACTGATTGGCTGCATGTACGTGGTTGTGGAGGAGCTGGGCTGAAGGTACGAGGAAGATGAGGAGGAAGAGGGTGATGAGGGTGACGAGGAGAAGGACGATGAGGATGAAGGTGATGGTGGTGGGGACAAAGTGGCCGGAGCGACAGTCGGCGCAGGACTGCTCAGTGAGTGATGATGATGATGATGGCCGTGTGAGGTGTAGGCGTTCTCGCGTGGAATCGAAGACAGCGTCCTTGCGCTGAGGGTGATCTCATTGGCGCGAGGGTCGTCGAGGGTGATGGTGGGCACGTGCTGGTGCTGCTGACTTGATGAAGATCGGGAAGAAGAGGATGAGGGTGATGATGATGGTGAAGAGCGGTACTCGGGCACATTGTTCGGATGCAGGCGGATTGGCTGCTCTGGTGGCTGATGTGCAGAAGAAGCTGACGATGATGATGACGCTGTCGAAGGCCTTGAAGTGGGCGGCGGCGGCGGCGATGCTGCCGTGGCAGCAGCCGCCTGTAACAGCTTATTCGCCTGCTGTTGTTTCTGCAGCTGCGCCGGTGAGACGTACTTGTAAGCGGCCGGGTCAAAGAGGTCCGATTTAGGGGCTCGATTTTCATCCTGCACCTCAAAGATGTGAATGAATTGACTGCTGACCAGCAGTGATGGCAGGCTGACTAATTGAACGAGCAGAGCCAGAGCTACAATGAATAGGGCCACATTTTGTTGTGGACGCTGATTCCGTTGTTTTGGCCGTTGCTGGTGGTGGCAGCTAGGAAGTTGACCTTCAAGTTGAGGTTGGTGGTGGTGGTGGTGAGAAGGGTGACAAGTGCTGTAACACCGGCGGTGGTCGCTACGGCGAAAGAAAGCCATTTTGGCTGTTGATGTCTGCTACTTTCTTATTTGTCTGACTTTTTCTTTTACGATTCAGGCAATTATTAATATATTTTCTTTAATGATGTTTTTTCAATAAAAGGTCACCAAATGAGGAAAAAGTGTTTTTCAATCAAAATGATTGAAAATTGCTTCATTAGTGCTTTATTAATGATTGTAAGCGACTTTAAACCAGCATTTTTTTAATAATCACAAACTGACTATTTATTGCAGTCAGTTTTTGACGTCAAACAAAAATGATGCTCAGATGAACAATCACACAGGCAAACAAAAGCACACATACATAAAAACGATACTTCTAAAACAAACAGAGACACAGACAAATGATCACAGACTGGTGTCAGTGGAGAGTGGGAAAACGTCTCTAGCCTCACTGTGAAAACAAAAGTACAAAAAAGTGGAGAAAACGACAAACAAAGGGACAAAGTTCAGTAAGAAGGTAAGTAAGTGAAAATCAAGTCCAAAGACACATACACACAGACATACACACAAACGCACTGTTAACACAGTGAACACTGACTGACTGACGACAACGAAAGGTGGTCGGCAACTGCGACCATGTCCACTCAGGCCACACTGTGTTATACACTGCTGAAACTTGCCCGGCAGTGTCCGTTCAAATTGGCCATTGCTGCTGCTGCTGTTGAAGAAGGAGCCACTGGCGACCACTGTGACGGCCACTGGCACTTTCTCTCTCTCTCTCTCTCACTCTTACTCACTTTCTCTTTTCTGCTCTCAAAATGTGTCTGTGTGTGATGCTCTCGGGAGTTGCGAACTGCAGCCCAGCAAAAGCGGCACAGGTGAAACACACACACACACACATGCAAAAAGAGAAAGAGAAAGAGAGTAGAGAGAGAGAGAGAGAGAGCAAAATGTGCTGCAGTGGTTGCTCGAGTTGGGAGTGGTGGATCGCTTTGGTTGTCGCCGCGTCTGGAATTAGCCTCCCAAAGCTGCAACAGCAAAGTTGCTTGCAACAAATGAAAGTGAGAGTGAGAGAGAGAGAAAGCTGACCGAACACTGATGTCCACACACTGGTCATCACTGCCATGANGAGAGTAGAGAGAGCAAAATGTGCTGCAGTGGTTGCTCGAGTTGGGAGTGGTGGATCGCTTTGGTTGTCGTCGCGTCTGGAATTAGCCTCCCAAAGCTGCAACAGCAAAGTTGCTTGCAACAAATGAANGCAAAAGCGGCACAGGTGAAACACACACACACACACATGCAAAAAGAGAAAGAGAAAGAGAGTAGAGAGAGAGAGAGAGAGAGCAAAATGTGCTGCAGTGGTTGCTCGAGTTGGGAGTGGTGGATCGCTTTGGTTGTCGCCGCGTCTGGAATTAGCCTCCCAAAGCTGCAACAGCAAAGTTGCTTGCAACAAATGAAAGTGAGAGTGAGAGAGAGAGAAAGCTGACCGAACACTGATGTCCACACACTGGTCATCACTGCCATGAAGATCAGTCGGCTTTTCTGTCTGCCTGTCAGTCAGTTGAGAGGGAAAGAGAAGGAGAACAAAATGAAGTGTAAGCTGATGCACGGACAACACATCAACTGAGGCAATGAGGGCAATTAGAACGCGTGCAAACGAGTGAATCAACAAATGTGGAACAGTGCAGACAGACGCTAAATTGTGAGTGTGTGCATTGTACTGATGAACTAGGCAGAACTTCAGCATTTATACACTGGAAATGATTAGTGTCCGTTGTGGCCAGTTCACTTTTAGTCTGTCTGCTATGTGTGTGTGTGTGTGTGTGTGTGTTCAACAAGTTTTTGCTATCACATCAGAATGAGAGTTGTCACACTGATGAACATATGGTGCTCGTTTTGACAGGAGACTACTGTTTACTTTTAGACTTTGTTTTTTGTAAAACTAAATATTTGCTTAATGAAA